AAAAAACAAGTTTAGTATTTAGTGACTCACAAAGAAAGTCATGTTGTGAGTGTCAAGTGATCATTCATAATACAATTTGTGTTCACTATAAGTATTTCTGTAGTATGTCTGACTGTACTTTTGACAATAGAAGTTTGCCTCTATCTTCTGAAGCTTTTCAGTAATAATAGACAGTATAGATGTCTTTGTATTGTTTGAGTTTGACCAAGAGTCAGATACTTTAGTTTCATTAGTCTTACAACTTGTAGCCTTTGAAGCCTACTTGTTCATTATTAGTAAATAGTTTTTAAAGAAATAAAGAAAAGACTACTTGAAATTTATTATTAATGTTAGTAAGGATGATTAGACATGATACAGCACCCCCCTTCTTCTTCTTCTACTGTGCATCCATGTATTCTTTGTATTGAGAGAACAGTTTTGTATAATTGTCATCATTTTCCAGATAATGTAGAACCATTTTCAGACCAGTTTGTTTACACTATAGGGCTTTGTACACAAGAGAAATATGACTCCTAGACATTTTCATAATATCCTCTGTTTGATGTAGAAGAACACAAAACCTCTAGGACTTACATATGGTCAGGTTGTGTACTGTATGACTATCAGAGACCTGAATAACAATCTTTGTGTCTTGAGAAGACTGATTCAGTCTTTGAGTCTGAGTAGCTGATAATACAGCCTGGCCAGATTTACAAACAGCTGATACAGTTATCAATTAGCTAGTAATAACAAGTAGTAGATACAAATACATACTAGTAATGTCAAACTCTTCATCATCTAAGACTTCATCCAAGTCAAACTCTTCCCTATCATCTTCTCTGGCTTTATCATCATTACTACCCATTACTACTAATGAAGCTACATGAGTCAATTCAAGCTCTGACAGTTCTTCAGCATAGAGATCAACACTATCATCAGGTAGATCAACAACTTTATTGACAATCTTAACAGACTTATTATAAATTAGTATAGTGACAACATAATAGAATGAGGAAAGCTTACCTGAATACTAGGAGTAATGTTGTTTACTGTAGGCTGTATATTTACTGAGTCTGTAACAACTTTACAGGGTTGTCCAGGGCCACACTTGACACCAGCCTTTGGTTTGTTAGCTTGACCTTCTTTCAGTATGTCTGACATTTTATACTTGATCTATAAATGAAGTAAGATATGTAAAAAATAGAGTAGTTAGAATAAATACATACTGTAGGGATACTTTCAGGAGGCACAGAATCTGACTGACTGTCAAGCATAGTGTTTGTAAGCTTTTGAGAGTGTCCAGACAGATGTTTCACTTGTACAGAGCCTATTAGCTTGCTTTCCTTTGCTTGAGCAGCTTTGTGTACTTTTATTAAAGGTATCTTTCTATGTGTCAGTTTTTCTGTAGATGATTCAAGGCTAGTGGATTTGGGCAGTATGATGGAAGGAAACACACTAGAGTATAGAGTGTAGTCAGGCTTTAAGAGCTCAATGTCATGTTTGTAGAATGGTACTAAAGCCTGTTTTCTGAAAAGTCAGTAGAATTACCAAAAGTACCTTGATTGGACTGATCCAAGCACTTAGCAACTCTAACATTCACATAGGGTTGTATAACTGTTTGTTCAGTTTGTTTTGACCCTCCTCCCCTTACTACCCTACATTGCCAGCTTGTTTATTGAAGCTTGAATTAGTATTTTTCCTAAAGCATTAGAAGGTGTGTTGTAAATACTCATCTCAGGTATACACTGTCTAATTCCTATTATAGGAATGGTAGTACTATAGGATATACATGCTACCATAGTTTAAATGTGTCATATTTGTAACATACTAGTTACTCAAATATTGTTTTATTTGAACATACTATCATTGACTGTCTATCATATTTTGAGGACATAGTCAGAAGGAGGCAGTGTTACAAAGACAAAATCAATCAGAGGACAGCCACAAGCACTTGATTACAATGACACAGGGGTAAAACCAAAAAAATCACACATTACACTTGTTAGCATTAAGTAACATGTAAATTGAATCTTATAGCTCCTCCTGGGTGCCTTAGAGTTTTGGAATAATACTTACCTTGACAAGCTAAAGGATATTATAGAGTAATAATGTAGGATCAAGTGTTCAGAGTCAACAATCTGGAGAATGTTGAGGAGGGTGGGTTTCACATTAAAGAAGGTTAGTAAATATGATTTACTTACTTTAATATCTATTTAACTGATACAGTGTAGATAAGTAAACAGGCACAGGAGAGAAATGAACAATTGTGAGCAGAATTCAAGGTGTATATGACCCTAAATTACAAGGCAGATCAGCTCATATTTGTTGATGAAAGTGCTTGTG